GGGAAAGAGAAACAATCGCAAGAAAATATCTTATATCAGGATGTCCCAAAGTGACGTGAAGGCAAATGAAGCCAGGGGCAGACAGAGTGATGGGGCTGTTCCTTCAGCCAAGGGAGTCAGTGGTACCCTTTGTTGGGGATGCCACTTGAGCAAAGGCCCAAAGGAGAGAGGAGTGATTCCTAGAGGAGAGGTGATGACAGCGGAAGGAGGAGCTGGGACAAAGCCCTGAGATGGAGCTTTATGTTTGTAAGGACAGGAAGGCCAGGGTGACTGGGGCAGAGATGAGGGTGCGGGGAGCAGATGGAGTTGGGGAGGTAACCAGGCCAGATCAAGTAGGGCCTTGGTAAAGGGTTGAATTTTATTTGGGGGGCAATGGAGAGCTCTGAGCAGGATGGTGACCTGAGGTCGAAAGCACCCAGCCTGCTGGGGGGCCTCTCCTGGACACAGCTCTGTGAAGCTGCGACAGACGCCGCAAGTGGGCGTCCCCACCGTCACTGTCTGTCTCATCCCTGGGCTGAGCTCCTCTGAGTGCCTGTAATCACCTTTGCTAGGACCCTGCTCAGCCCAGCACTTAGCCCAGAGTAGGAGTTTCCCAAATATTTATCTGGAAAAGGGAGGGAGGCAGGGAGGGGCGAAGGAAGGGAGAGAGGAATGATAGGAGGGAGGAAGGAAGGATCTTTTCTAGCTGACCATGAGATGGGAGCCACAGGCACCAGCACAGTTCATAGGAAATAGGGACTTCTCTTTGGAGATTCTCCTTTGTGACCTGGGCTCATCCAAGCTGGGAGGCTTCAGGTAGGTGGCCTTCTCTCAGCCACAGCCTGGAGCCCCCTGCAATGCAGGCATGCAGGCACAATCAGAGAGCTGGGCCAGCCTGTGGCCCTTCATGCCCTGGAGATGGGAGTGGCGCATCTCCACCTCCACGGTTCCCAGCAGGGAGAGTCATCACGCATCAGACTGCCTTGTGAGGAGCGAGCTGCCTATGGCCAAAGGCATTCAAGCCAAATGGAGGAACGACTCCTGCCCTGAGTGTAATTAATCAGGCTGCCTGACCTCTAAGGTTCTTCCGTCTCTGAGTTCCTGAGCGAGCTCCCTGTGGTTCTCCATCCTAAGGGAAGGGCAGCATTTGCTGTGCCTCTCCTGCACCCCGTGCAGAAATAACCTCCAGGGGAGGGCACCCCGTCCTCCTCTGCAACACGTTTTGCCACCCTGGGGCGGCCCTCCCAGCACCTTCATTGGGCCGCACCCACCTCAAGCCAAGGTTGCTGTCCCTGCCTTGGTGGTCACAGTTACCCTTCTTTATATCCTCTCTCGTTCTTTACCTTGTCACTGGAAGGGGGGCCAAGGTGCTTTTCTCTGGGAAGCCCCATCTCGGTTCCCCCAGTCTGCTGTTTTCCTTCTCACCAAGAGCTGCAGGTTTCTAGGCCAAAGATGCTTGCATCCTGCTGTGAAGGGCCAGCTCTTTGGAAGGAGTCAGAAATGTCTATTTTAGAGCCTCTTAAGTGTTCTCCCGCAAAGAACCTGTTAGAGGAACAATGGAGTTGACTTGAACTGGATAAAAGAAAAACACTTTTTCTGCTGTGTTAGCTGGACCATCGAGTTAGAGGGGCCCGAATTGGTGTAGGAGGAGCTTGCTCTGCCAGCCTTGGTCATTTAGACAAAAGTGGCATAGAAGCACATTGGGGGGCTTCCCCCTTTGTGCCTGGCACATTACGTATGTTATTTATTTAATCCTCCAAGCATTCAGGTGAGATAGAGATTCTCTTGTCTCTCGGAGGCAGATGAGCAAGGCATGGTCCCGTTGAGGCCTGGGAGCCTGGTTCCTAGAGCCTTTCCCAGCTTGGGGGGTAGGGGCTGCCTTGTTGGTGAACTTGCACCCCATCCACAAGTCAACCCTGGATGTTGGAGATACACAGCCACCGCCCATCGTTGCTTCCCAAAATTAGAATCCCTTAGAATGCTGGTTGGAATAAGAATTCCTGGGCCCCATTGTCCCAGACCCTCTGAATCAGCATCTCCAGAGGAGGAAAGCAGTGATCTTTGAGCTTTGGGAAATGCAGGACTCGAGGACCATGACACTCAAGGCCGCAGTGTTTGGGGAAGCTAGGTTTAAATGTGCATCAAGACTCGTGCTTCTCCTTATGTGTGGACGTATTGAGGGGCTGCTGTGGACACGCTGAGGGTTTTTTTCTGAGAATTAGGTAAGGTAGTGTCTTTAGAATGTCACCCAAGCTTTGACTGGCATTTATTGGGCCCTCTGACTTTTCCTTCCTTCCTCTTTCTTGTAGTCCCTTAAAAGTACATGGAAGTTCCTAATTGAATTATGCCTTCATCCCAATAGAAACAAATAACCTTAAACTGAAGATTTTGGTTAAAATAATGCCAGCTGGATCTGTGGATGCAGGTGTCAGAGGAACTGTGACCCATTTTCTACACACACACACACACACACACACACACACACACACACACACACACGTTCCCGCTCTTGGAAGCCCTGTACCTCTCCCAGCTTCACCCAGCAGACAGACCCCTGGCAATAGGGAAATAGGGCAGCGGGAGGGAGACAGCCCACCTGACAGCTCTGGTCTCCGGCTCTTCTGCAGGGAGATGATGCCTCCCCCCCATCCAAACCCTAGAGAGGGCTTGCTATTCACAGACCTCATGCTGCCAGGGCCTGGGGCAGCTTTCTGCCCTGGGGTCCTGGTGTACACCTGGTAGAACCAAGAGAGAAAGGAAAGAGTGGTTGACAGCCCCAAGGATGCAGGCGCCGAGAGTATTCTCGAGCTGCAGATGTGATGTTTGAGGGATCACGGTCCTTATCATGGTTCTGGCCTCTGGAGAGCAACCTGGATGTTGGAGATTTTATCGAGTGACCTGGTACAACCCTGATAGTGCTTTTTCTTTGTAAAAACAAGTTTAAAAGGGCTTGGGCAGAATAAATAGCAGACACCCAAATGACTGTGTTCTTAAGCCCAGTTTCCCTCAGAAGCCACTCAGAATGCTGACAAAGCGTGAGGCACTCTCATTTACCTCATTTGGAAGACGGACTGCATTTAATGTCTATAAAATAGAAAGCTGTGCAGATACAGGAGGGCTACTGTCAGCAGGGCTCGGACCCAACCCAAGCTATCCCGAATACCTGATTCCATCTTAGCTCATGAATGAAGGTGGGGGAGATCATTTGTTCATTGAGAGGCGTTAGAGTGCAGAGGCAGGAACTGGAGCTTCAGGGTCCAGCAGCCCTGAGCATCTACCCTGTCTGCCACCTTTTTTTCCTTCCTTTCTTTGCAATGGGATATGACAGTCCCCAACCTCTCTGACCTCAATCCCTCATCCTCATCTGGTCCCTGAAAATAGCAAAGGGTGCCCTCATCAGTTCAATGTGAGGATTACAGGAGATGAGGAAAGCCTGGCTGGCCTGAAAGTGCTCCCTCAATGGGCATTCCTCCTCCACTTCCTGGACGGGACACCCTGTGAGCACGGGGCCCTGTTCAGGAGACAACCTAACAGGCTGTGGTCTGTCCTTCCCTCGCAGAAGTGGTCAACCAGAAGACCGTGTATTTCTTCAACCTGACTTCCATGCAGGACTCAGAAATGATCCTCGTGGCCACATTCCACTTCTACTCGGAGCCGCGGTGGCCCCGGGCACGCGAGGCACCATGCAAGCAGCAGGCCAAGAATGCATCCTGCCGCCTGCTGCCCCCAGGCCCGCCTGCACGCCAGCACCTG